TTCATTTCTTTGAGGCTTGTGGGATCTTGGATACAGGATGTAAGGTTTTTGGCTTCAAGGATCCAGGGGTTCAAGACCTAGAACGTGGTTTCCTTCTTGATAGTTTACCAGCGCTGGTTCAGAAAACATGAGCAATCATGTTGTTGTGGGCGATTCGGAACCTTGACAAAACCCAAAACCCTAAACCGCGTGGTTGCGTGGCTGGGAGGTGCGGATCCTGCCTCCTACGAATCTGTGCTGGCCTTGAGCTCAGCGCAGCACAGCACGGAGGATGCTTGTCAAAACATTCGGTGTTAGGGTTTAGGGTTAGGGATTTACGGCTCGCCCCTTACCACGGCAGAAGCCATGGTTTGGGATGAGAGGTTGCGAAGTTTAGCAGCTTGCCTGGGTCCATCAGGGCCTCTCTAGTCAGCTAGGAGCTTCGGCTATAGACGTGTAGAGTTTTTAATCTTAGGGCACTCCATGAAGGTTGCCCTAAGGAATTTTATTGGTCATTGCGGCTTTGCAGCTTTGAGGGGCTTCATCATAGTTCAAATGCTTCAGGGTTTGCGCGAAAATTCTCATCTTGACGGCAGTAATCCCGTGGTCCGTACATAGAAGTACATAGAAGGTCATGGCCAATTATAAGTTGGCTTGTAAGTGCTTCAACACGCTTCTCAACGAAGTTCTGGCAGCTATAACCCACTTTTGATTAGCATTCCCTCAACCCTGAACCTTAGCCATCAAGAAAGCCTTAAACTCCACACCTTGGGCGGCCGCCTACTTACTGGTGGTTAGTAGGGAACAGGGGAGTATAACTCTTACTAAGTCCTATATAATATGTTCCCGGATTGACTGGTATAACGAAATTATATGCCCTACTATAATGTAGTAGTTTCCATGTTCTTTTTCATCATCCTTATTAATAACCCCCAATATATTCCCATATTCCCTACTGACCACCAGAAAGCCCCAGGCTCAGAATGTCCAGTTGAAGCTTGACTTGCAGCACCGGCCGCAGAGACGAGCTTGTGCTTTATTTTTCAAAAGTTTGGGTTCCCTTAAAAATGGGGTTCTGCGAGTTATTTACTAAGAAGATGTGTACAGGTTTGGAGGTGTATACTGTATACTGACAAGGATATGTAGCATTTTGGGGTGATGTGACTCCATACTAGACCCTGTTAAAATCAGAGTCGGATGAATCTTATTACGGGCAGATAGCATTTTGCCGGTGAGCGTAGCGCAATCGTAGTTACACTGCGCGCTGCGGGCCACGTGCAGGTACGATGGGGGCTGAAATGCCAAGGTTGCCAGATTCCCCTGTTTTTTGGGTGGAGAAGCGAGCAATCGGATACATAGGAAATCTGGGAACAAGCATGTTGCAAAGCCCGCCTACAAGCAACTCGCAACACTGCAGTCCCCGGTTTGCCAGGGTATGACGGAGTTATGTCATGTCATGGTTGCAGTCATACGTGTGCTCGGCCAAATTAGCATCCGCTTCTATCCACAATATTTTACTACCATCCTCACCACTCGGAGCCCAATCGAGGAGCCATACCTCTGAGACACCCTGCAGAACACCTGTAATCTGTTTGAAATTCCGACATTGTACCTATGACCTACACAAGCCCATGCAACGTTCTCCATCGCTCGCAGCCTTTGGGGTGTCCTTCTTGTTACTTCGAATCAGATGGTATGCCAAGTCAAAGTTTCAGCCTGCGCTCGAAGACCATTCGGCGTGCTGATGCACCTCAACATTTTGTTCCCATCTGGGTTCATGGAGATCCTGGAGTGTGCGGGTTTCAGCTTTTCGCTCAGGTGGCTTCCCACAAGTCATCATGGAAGCTGAGTTCGGAAAGTAAGCTAGCAAAAATGGGACATTCCCAAAATGGGGACCGGGTTTGCAGTTGCTACCTTGAGCATCCACCACATCTGGGGCCTCCAATTTGGATGCCTTTGACGGTGAGAGAGACTACCATATTCTCAAGCTGAAGCATCTTTAAAACCCTGACGTACATGCATCTCGGGGCCAATCTTTCAGTCAAGTCGGGCCCCCTAGAAAACCCAAACCCAGGCTTCGACATGGTAGTGCTGATAGTCGTACTCGGCTCCATAGGCCTGATGGTAACTTATCCCCTACTGTTCTCTCCAGCTGAGGTCTTAGGCCTGTCAGGAAGCATGAACTTAATCAAGTTCCTCCTGGTTTCTCATAAGGAGCGCGCTGTCGGAGCTGTCTCGGAAGCAGGATCCGTCGTGGTTCATCCCTGCCCGAGTCGGCTTTAGGGTTTAGGAGTTTAGGGGTATAGGGTTGTGAGAGCTGTAGCACAATCATATATCCGCAGTAAGAACGCGCCAACCCCGAAAGAAGATCAATGCCCTAGTCTGTAATATCAATCATAGTAGTTGATCATATATTGAGGCTCTTTCTTCTTACGCCGGTGCGGGCCCTGAAAGCCTACAGAGGTGTTTAAAGTTCCCACTATTTTTTGGTGGGTCCATCTTCCAAATGATAACTGGATTCATGGATGGGGGCATGTTTCGATTGCCTTCAGAGATTACAGCTTTCCTCTCTTCCTGATCTTGTGTCAGCATGATGAAGCAGAACTCTAGTTGGTTGGGGCTAGGGATCTGATTTTCAAGACACCCGGATTTGAGAATTGGCGACTGCTGGTTGTCGAGGAAACTTTGAGGTAGTTTTGGTATGAGCCATTGTTTGTGATATGGAAGCTTCATTTGTAACCATATCGGGTTGGCACAGAAGCCCCCTGCCTTGCGACTTTCTTGTTCGGCCGCGGGATATCTGCACCAGATTTTGAAGCGTTGACTCCTAGTTACACATGCTCGCTCAAAATTTTCAGCTTGTTTCTCGCAATCCTCCGGGCTCAAGCGCTGCTTGGGCCACATGAAGGAGGATAGAGACATGCATCTTTGTGCAAGAACCACCAGATAGAAGTTCTCTGCTTCTTAAGTACATGCTTGTACTAAGATGGCCAGGTGAACAGTCCTTGTTCTCACTGGGGAACCAGACAAATTCAATGGTCTTTCCGTGGCGGTTTTCGAGCTTTCGTGGACTTTTAGTTTTTTTTGTCGCAGAAGCATTTCATTGTGCTTGGTATTCAAAACGTAAAACAAACATCTTAACACTCGGATCTTAATCACCCCCAAAGACGGGGCTCTGGACAAGAATGATGGACGTGCGCCCCGCGTGCCTGAAAGCACCGTCGGCGCCACCACGGAGCGATGCTCCGCGGGGCGCTGTGCCCCCACGCGCGCTGGTATCGGTGCTTGGGCTGAGTATGTAGGGTCACTTCGGGAGTTCGGGGTTTAGGATTTATCTTGTCTGGTCCGCAGTGTCCTTGACTACTCCTTATTATTCCTGCAGTTCATCGTTGTCATTACATGTTGTCACGAGTCACGGGGAATTGTATTTGCAAGGGTAGCTACTGCGGTATGCAGTTATACTGCGGCTACCATGCAAGTATCAAGCTTTCATTACATAGTCTTGCCACCTTACTGCAATGCCAACCCCTTCCGAAGCCCTGAGCTGGTTGCTGCTGCGGTTTCTTTCCCTAGAAGCTGGACACCGTAAAGGTGCTCCTTGGCGGCGCAGCAGTGCCAGCGCTGGCCAGCTACCGGAGGCAGGGGTTTAGAGTTTAAGGTTGTCGTGTCAGGATTTCTGGGCCAAGGAGCTAACGTTGAGAGTGAACACTCGAGAATTTAACAATGGAAGCAGGCGGGTATATTCAAAATGGCGCTGCTCCAGACTACCGCCTGTGACCCTTCCCCCAATCCCATGACTGAACCATTTCACAAGCTCAGAAGTGCTTCGGAGATCAGGATGCGCACTCAATCCTTTAGCCCTTTAATTTCAAGCTCCAATGGCTTCTGAATAGCAACAAAGTAAACAGCGAGACCTGCCGCCCCAGCTTGAACTGAGTTAAACACTAGACCCTGAAACCCGAAGCCCTCCAGCTGTGGACTCAAACCCCCAGACCCTGTCTCCCCAAATTCCATGTGGCTTCTGAATCTTTGGATCTTCATGACTCTCCAACCTTGTTTCAAACTCAGAATCTGTGCTATTCACAGCCTGTGCTGTTCCCATAGGTCGCGTCCCGCCGTGCCTTGGATGCATTGCCTAGTACATCTGCATGCAGCAGGGTGAAGCAATAGCAACAGGAAAAGAAGAGAAAAGTGATAACCGTGACCTAGAAGTTTCCTTGCGGCCGAACTGTGAAATCAGAAACTCTGAACGCAGCTCCACTCAAAAACAGCCATTCAGCCTTGATCTAGCAGGATCCCTTGCCAAAGCCCCAATTTAGCCATTTATCCGCGGGGTCTGGCAGACCCGAAGCATTAGACTAGTGGTTTGGGTAGATTATGTCGCAGTAATCGAAGGGTTGTGTATATTGGGCTGCTACTGGGAGCCATTTCGCGTTTTCAAATCAATGGAGAGTTACTGCATGCGGCGTGTGGCTGTCTCTTTTGTTGTCAGAGCAACACCCTGAATTCCTCTGGGGGGCTCAAGCTTTGCCATTGCGATAGATGAGGGGGTCTGAAACATGACGGGTCTGGTTTAAGACCGTGTGGCGCGAGCCCCCAGAAGTGAAAGCTGTTTGTCACCTTGAGGCCACCGAAGTTTTCGGATATTCCTGTAATGGCTTAAAACGCCGGAATAGGCTTGCCAAGTGGAGAGTCTTCCAAGCTTGTAGGGTGTGCGGGGAAGCCTAGTGTCTTCTTCTAAGCACCAGCTGCATGGTTTGGTCGTCAGTAGGCTCTGAGTCTCCTGGTCATTCTGCAGATGGTAGCAGGCTCTTTGGAGACCTCACCTCCAAGAAATGCTTCTTTCAGGGTAAGTGTTCTCGCCCAATATCCCAGCAGGGAGTATTGCGCATGATGCTGCCATTGCCGAACCTAAGCCGAAAATGCCAATGCCCGCCAATCCCCAAACCCTGTATCTCTACCTAAAGTTGAAAAATCCCTGCACGCCCCACTTTCCTCAATCAAAACCGCCCCTTCGTGCCATGGGCTGCTCCGGCTCCAAAGTCACGGTGGCGACCTACAATCTTTATTGGTGGTGCGTGTCGAATGTTTCCTGACTCAACATAAGGAGGTTTCAGAAAATCACGGCTCGAACTGAGGGATCAATACCTGGGAAGTCTTGTTCGACATCGAAGCCGTGGAAACCATGATCTGCTGCGATATCTTTATGGGCTAAACCGGTACATGCAGTATGTAGTAGTGGATTGTCTCCAATTTGGCGGTCTTGTTGCCCATTCTTCCGATGGACGCGCCAGTGTTCCAGCATAATATACAAAGTCATCCTGAGTCAAGAGGCAAGGGACAGGCATTTGAGCAGTACTGCCGCTGCAGTATCCGACATTTCATTTTTAGTTCTGTCATGTCGGCGGAGGGCAGTAGAGAGCTTCGAAGTCCTTAGAACTCCGATGCACGCCCCCATAAACTAGCATTTGGCAGAAGTGGTATGTCGGCTAGTCCCGAAGTATCAGATAGGAAGTACTAAGCGGTAGTGCATGGCATGATGCGTGTCCAGTGACTGCATGAGCAAAGCCATACTGCTGCTACATCCTCATGAACACATGTAAACCCCTTATCAAGCCAGCACGCCCGCGGCTGACCAAAGGAGTACAACAACTGCCAGCAGTATGCGAACGGGAAGGGCTTTCAGGAGCTGTTCCGTGGCTTTAGTCCCAAAAAGGTTAGCATCTATCGTGCCAGGGGCCTAGGGTGTACAGTGTGGAGGCGTTTGGGGGGTAGGTTATGTTTGCATTCTTGCAATTGGGAGCTCTCTGTCAAATGGTAAAGAGGACGGATGGGGTTCACTTGGGAGAACGGGCCTGGTGGAGGTAGCCGGGGGGCTTGGGGTGTTGTCATAGTAGAAATAATAGCATGCAGATATTCTTGGTTGTGTGGGTTCAAAGGTTGACAGCTCTGTGCCGGTCCAGGGGTTCTATTTGGAGCTGATATTATTGCTTGATGCAGCATTACGTTTGTGCTACTTCCTCTGCTTCAGAGGTTGCAAAATACAATTCCTTGCGAAAATGCTCCGTTTCGCAGAATTCACATCCCCCATTTGTCATAGGGACCCTTGGAAAGGGGCACCGTGCCTTTTCAGGAACTCCCATGTGCTACCACCTCAGGTACAAGACGATCGCCAATAACGCACCTTTTGACTTAGCCGGCTTCCAAGAGTGCGCCGCTCGGCTCAAAGAACATGGACACTACTATGAGGCAGAATCGAGTGGAAAAGAAATTGAAACTATACATACACATATATGTATGTATGTACGTATGTACGT